CCCACCCTCATCCCTTCCCCTCACTCCCACCCCTTTCCTGTCTTTTTGAAACAATGCCAAAACCAACAAAGTATTAAATGTCATAATCATTTTAAAAATGTATAGGATAAAGGTTTCTAGGGCATTCTTAGGTATGTCATAACCTTTACAGCTCTCTAATAAACAAAATAATTGATTTACTATGCAAACCAAGAGGAACATTTCAAACATTTGCGTCATCAATTGTCAGTCCTACAAAAACTAAGACATTATAAGACTGAAACTTTCAGCTTTGATCTACAAAAACTGAAAAGAATGTATTCATGATTTTGAGGGAGTAACGCTGAAATTAAAGTTTGCTTCATTCAGAACAAAACTGTTTGGCACAGTACAGTTGTTCATAGTCAAAACAAGGATCTGCACAATCCCAGTTAATCCACCTTGAGATCAAAGATTAACATGTATGTTTACCGCGTCTGTCATCCATTTCGACTCCTTTTGATGTTCGTTTTATTGTAAACAAGTTAAAATTTGTTGCTTTACAAGATGGAGGACAATGATGCAGTCCAAAAGGAAGCTGACCTCACCTTAAACTTTATTCACATTTTTCATAATTTAATTTGATTCACTGTGCCCCGTGATCCACACTTAGAGTTATACAGGCTATATGTGAAGGGTAGGTCAGCTGAAATTCTGGAAAGGAATTAGGCTGCATACACATGTGAAATCGCCCCTTCCGTATAATAAGAACCGTTGAATAGACTAACCAACTTCAAAGGGTCGGAATCAATTTTGAATTGATATGTCTAGGCAACAACCTGTTTAAGAATACTTGGTCCTTCCAAATTCAGTAGGACAGAACTAAGTTGACCTTAAAACATTTAAGAAAGCCTTGTCCGGTATTCAAACCAAGGCAATTCACATTATGGTTCAGCATGATGTGCGTAAGCTAATGGAGCAACAAATTCAAGGGGATATGACAGCATAAGCCAAAATCTCCACAAAAATAGAGCATCTGTATCTACTCTGCCTAATGTCACTGACAGACATCCCATAGCGTTGAACTCGCAAACTCTGTAGTGTACCGTGTGTATTTTATTTCCCTTTTCTGTTTCTTTATTTGAGTAGGGAGAAGCAGATCTATATGGACTTAACAGCAGTCACTTAGTTGAGGGAAAAAGTACACCAGAGAGGGCCAAGATGGAAAGGGAAGTAGGAAGACCTATCTATGATATCCTCCAACCACCGACATTTTTACAGCAAGTTTCGCCGGAAAAATGAAATAGACAGCAAAAATGGCGGCCACTCTGAAACGGGACATTAAAGTGACATCCAGGCTGATCTCTCCTCCTCTCCCTTCATCCCCTTTTTCTATAGCCATTCGCCCTACTCAAAAATAAAAATCATCTCCCCCCAACCCTATAAAACATCCCTTCATCCATCACCATTCCCCTCCAAAACACAAACACACACACACATACACACACACACACACACACACACACACACACACACCAACACACACATACACATTCATACACACACATA